AGTTCATTGAACGGCCCACCGTGGAGGAGAGAAGCAACGGAAAGCTGTCCCCGGTGGGTTTCCACGGTGCGTGTGCATTCGTGTGATTGCACCACACGCACTGCTAATGAAAGGAATTTAGACTTTGTACATAGCAGTGGTGGCACACACCTGCTATCCCAGCACTCATGAGAGAGGGCTGGGGCAGGAGGATGGCTATCAGTTCCCCAGGAGCCTGGACTGCACAGTGAGGCCCAGGCTGCTGAGCTGTGGAGTCACACTCCACACGAAGCCCACAGTAGGCAAAGGAAAGTACAGAGGAAGTCCGAGGGAGCTCGCAGCTCGGACGCCAAGGAGGGAGGTCAACCAAGACTACGGTGAGACTCCTTGCCTCAGTTTCCCTGTCTGTAAAACAGGGCTTCCCCCCATCACTTCGGATTGCAATGTCAGCTTCAGCCAGTAGGGGACACGTGGGAACCGGGAGTGGCATCTGGTGTCCCAGCACTATACGGTTCCCTACACTCCACCCCCAAAAAAGTCTTCAAACTGCCCCCGAGGTCCTTCTCACAGCTTTCTGTTGTTGTTGGGGGGAGGGGTTGTTGCTGGTGTCACTACATAGACCAGGCTGCCCCAGAACTCACTATATAGACCTGGGAGGGCGTGTCACTCAGTCTGCAGCTGTCTGGACAGCCACAGCTCTGTGTCCTCCACAGTGTCACAAACTTTAGGCTATTTGTGCATTTATGGCGTGCCGAGCATTTGCCAAGTCTTATTCCAAATGGTGGTATGTACGGTTCAGGGGTGCAGCAGGGTTCAGGGGTGCAGCAGGGTTCAGGGCTGCAGCAGGGTTCAGGGGTGCAGCACGGAGGAACGGTCCCCGAGGCCGGGGCTCCGTGAGCATGTGGCTGGCAAGCACCGTCTCTAGAGCAAAACAGTCCGTAGCTCTTGAGCGTCCTTTCAATAACTTAACTTTGGGGCAGGGTTCGTGTGTGTGTCCTGATGTCCTGTCAACCTTCCTGCCTTACTACTACTGACCTCCTGACCCTGACCCTCCGTCTCACACAGCACGCGATCCCTCGGGACAGGCACCCCGTGGTCAGCCACCAGAGGGCGCACGTGAGCACCGAGCGTCTCCCTCTGTGCAGCGGCCTGGCTCCCGCCCCTGGCTCCCTCCGTTCTCAGCACCCTTGCCTGAGCCTTAACTTTCTGCCTAGGTCTGTCACCACGCCAGACGCCGCGTCACCCCCAGTGCTCCCGTCTTCGTCTTCCTAAGGTAGAACAAGCCACATGTGCTGGGTCACACCTGTCATCCCAGCCACTGAGGGAAGATCAAGAGTTCATGGTTATCCTTAGCTACTTATGGACACCAACCTGGGCTATGTGAGAACCTGTCTCCAAAAGCTGAAAAGATAAAATTATGAATTTCTGAGCCATGTTCCCAATATACACGGCACACAGTAAACGCTCAATAAATGCACATCGTTGTTAGGCAGCCCATCCCCATAGCCAAGTGCCCCACTGACCTCGGCCACGAAGGGTGTTGGGTTCTACCCTGAGCAAACACTGCCTCTCTGGCACCCAGCCAGGCCCAGGAGGAAGGATTGAGCCTAAATTCTCAGCGTGGACTTTCCCCAGAACCGGTGCCACACGGAAGTGCCAGGCCAGACACGCAGGGATTTTTCTAGGTGTTGATCCTGGGGCAGTTTCTTTTTCTTTCTTTCTTTCTTTTTTTTTTTTGGTTTTTCGAGACAGGGTTTCTGTAGACCAGGCTGGCCTCGAACTCAGAAATCCGCCTGCCTCTGCCTCCCAAGTGCTGGGATTAAAGGCGTGTGCCACCACTGCCCGGCCCTGGGGCAGTTTCTTAGGGGGTCAGCTCTCAGGCCCCTGTGTGACAATCTAACTCTACTGTGCAGTCTGGGGGAGCGGCTGCCCCTGTCTGGGCCTCATTTCATCTTGTGCCTGACAACAGGGGACTAAGCTGGGAACAGGGACCCACGGAGCCACGGCGCCGGCTACTGTAGCATTGGTTTCTCCACGGTGCAAAATGAGAAACTGAGGCTGGGCTAGGGCAATGGTGGATAGTTGGAACTCCCAATGCTAGGTCCACCTGCGTCTTGAGCCTTCCCAGACCAGAATAAAGTAACCTCAGGGCTGGCTGGACACACCCTCCTGAAGGGAATTGTTTTTCTTTGTTTTGGGGCAAATGGCACAGAAGCAATTCCTGTGCCCCTCTCAACTCCTCTGTCAATCCGGTCCACCCTCATCGTGCAATTCTCCTGACAGACGTGGCCTGGGAGCTGACGCGCTCCTGTCCCCTCCTGTCCCCAGAATGTGTAACCCAGGACATTCACGTCTTGGAAATATGGGGTGACCCTCAGGGAGAGTTCCAGAAAAACTCAGTTAGTTCAGGAGTACCCCAGCTTTCTCTGCCGTCTCTCCAAACTGCAGGCCAGCCTTCCATGGGAACTAGGGTCCCCTTACCTCATGCTACTAGGGGATCAGGGACCAGCCTCCCCAGCCACCGCCTGCGCTCACAATGACCCTTTGAAGGCTGGGCTGGAGCGTCCTGGGCGCTGTGCCAGGGCAGAAACTGCAGCCGCTCGAACTTTCTGAAACTGTGTCAGTTGCCCACACAGGATGTCAGCTTCCAGGTCCCATGGGGGGCACCCGGAGCAAACTTGGGGGTCCCGGGAGCCCGAGGTGGGATCACTTGAGTGCCTAACGCCCTTGGAATGAGCTCAGCTGGAGACTTACCCGTCTGGAAGGCTGAGTGAGAGGACGCGGGGTGGGCGGTGGCAGCTGGGTCCTGGATGGCTGTCTGGCATGGGTGGCAGGGAGGAGACCCGAGCTGGCTTCTCAGGCCAGACAACCTGTTTGCTGAGCACGAGCGGAGTGGAAGGAACAGCGGGCGCGTCCCTTTGCCGGGTAGAGAGGCCAGCCCGCAGGTGGGAGGGCTTGAGGCTCAGTCGCAAGGTACTCTCACGTGGCCAGACAGGCCTTAACCCCTGAGCGCCCAGGGAGGCCTAGGTAGTCCTGCACCCCACAGCACTTACAGGTGCCGCAGAGTAGGGACTCAGAAGACACCGAGCATCCTAAGGGATCAATGGGTTGGGCCCCTTGCTGCAACTTACCCGCTGTCAAGCTTCCCGGTTTCATCGCTAGGGGAGACACTGGAATAATCAAAACCCGCATCGGAGCTACCGCCCCGCTCTTCACTATGGGATTCTAGGCAGGGCTCCACTCCTGACCACGGCCCCAGCCCCTCACTGGCGGCGTGTGGGTGGGGTCTCCACCCTGACCACGCCCCCAGCCCCTCACTGGAGGTGTGTGGGTGGGGTCTCCACCCTGACCACGCCCCCAGCCTTCTTTGAGGAATTCTAGGCCAGACTGCACCTTCCAGCCACACCCAAGATCATTATCTATTCTGTTGGCATTGACTTCTGTCAGTACACCTGGCCCCTTGTGACTTTCCAGTTTCAAGTTTTATTTTTATTTTTTTTTAACTTTGCTTCCTCTTAATTCGAGCACTCCTGACCTAGTTCCTTCCTGTGACGTTCAAAACAGTTCTCAGCTTTTACCGGGTGTCCGCATCTCTGGAGGAGTTGATCCTGTCTTAGTTCCTGCGGCAAGTAGGCTCCAGATTCCAGCTTCTAACCCGCTTTCAGAAGGTCCTGGTGCTGGGCTCCAGTGACCGCTCTTTGGAAGCCCTGACTTTAGTCAAGCTGACTCAGTTCTGTCCATGCCACAGGCTAAAGCGCTCTTTCTGGTACAATGTCTTAATGAACGGGCAGGAGGGCCATGCCTGTCACCCTAGCAAAGGGGAAGCTGAGGCTGGAGTGTCTATCTCAAAAACACAACAAACAATATATATTACATACGTATATATTATTTTGCAATCCGATGTATGCTTATTTTTATTGATAACCTATGCTGTAAAGCGATAAAATGACAGTAGTAAAATACACTTCTAATATATGTAATAAATTTCTTTAATGTACACATTCCTATAGCCCAGGTTGATCTCTTTAAATCAACATATAGTTGAGGATAACTCAGACCCAGCACTGGGGAGGCAGAGGCAGGTGGATTTCTGTGTTCCTAGAACTCGTAGACCAGGCTGGCCTCAGACTTGGAGATCCGCCTGCCTCTGCCTCCTGAGTTCTGGGCTTATAGCTGTGTGCCACCACTGCCCGGTTGTGGGTTTTTTGTAGTTGTTTTTGGTTTGGGTTTTTGTTTTTGTTTTTTTCTTTTTTTTTTTTTTCGAGACGGGGTTCTCTGTGTAGCCCTGGCTGTCCTGGAACTCACTCTGTAGATCAGGCTGGCCTCGAACTCAGAAATCCGTCTGCCTCTGCCTCCCAAGTGCTGGGATTAAAGGCGTGCGTCACCACCGCCTGGCGTTGTTTTGTTTTTTTTTAAGGTAGGGTCCCACTATGTAGCCCTGGCTAGGCTAGAACTTGCTATGTAGACCAGGCTGTCCTTAGCCTAGAGATTTGCTTGCCTCTGCCTTTGATGTAGTGTCTGCCTGGGGTGCTCCTGAGCCTCATGTCTAGGCTCTGCCCCTAATATCCGATTGGCTGTAGTAGAGACTCTAGGCCCCGCCCCAACTCAGTCCCCTGCAGACGCTCCTCCCTCTGGTTTGTTGGAGCTGCCCTGTTCATCCCTCTATGGACGCTTGGAGGCGCTGGTGAGTCGTACTTCACCTTAGCCCCACCCCTGTTACCCAATTGGTCAGGTTCCTCCTTTTGCTGAAGCCCCTCCCTCCGCCCCCATACTGCACGTGAGCACAGGTCCTTCCGGCACCGGACGCCCGAGGGCGCTCGCAACTCCCTTGAGTAGGTGCCACCCTAAGCCCAGTCCTTATATCCGATTGGTTAAGAGCTCCGCGTCGACGCCAGGCTCCGCCCAGACCCCGCCCCCTCCTCCGCCCTGTAGTGCGGGCGGCGCTTGTTGTTCAGCGGCGGCGGCTGAGCTCGGGTGCATCCTCGGGCCCGCCGCCGCCGCCGCCGCCGGAGCGCTCGGCCATGGAGCTAGAAGTGCCGGACGAGGCGGAGAGCGCCGAAGCGGGGGCCGTGACGGCGGAGGCGGCCTGGTCTGCGGAGAGTGGGGCGGCGGCAGGTAAATGCGACCCCCCCGTCGCTGCGATGGGCTCGCCCCGCTCCCCCGCCGTGGCGTGTGGTCTCGCCCGCCCGCTTCGCGCTGGGCTGCGGCCCGCCGGGCTGATCCATTTTCACGCGCGGCTCGGGGGTGCTCGCGCGCTCCCATTGCATGCGCGGGGGAGGGGGCATCAGCGCTCGGGCCGAGGAGGCTGCACCGCCCCGCCCCGCCCCGCCCCGGGATGCGGGGCTCGCAGCGCTCGGCCCGTTTTAGGGTTCTTGGGTGACGCGGTGGAGCCGCAGGCGGGCGTGGGTGCGGGTCTTTATCCTGGCAGCCTGTGCATGCAGCCAGCTCCTCGATGCATGCAGTAGCGGTGAAGCGGTCCTCCGCTTTGGAGGTAGAGGGGACCCGTTTTGGGGCATTCTCTTGCTGCAGGGGATAAGAGACAAGTGAGTCATAGCTGCTCCTTTCAGTGTGTGGCCAATGGCTTCTCCACAATGTGTGGGATACTGGAGCACCCTCATTCTAATGGGGGACTCCACCTGCGGACCCTGCCTGGCAAGGAAGGGCGAGTATGTCCTCCATGCCACCCCCTTTGCTGTGCTGTCAATCTTGAAACTATCACCTTCTGCTCCCTCCCTGCTACACACCACTGATCACCAATGTGTGGGCCTCAGTTTGCCTCCCTCTAAAATGGGGGCTGCGGAAGGATAAAGAAATGATGTTGAGGTGCCTTCTCTGTCCTGGCTGGGTGAGCAGATGTCCCGTCAATTCCCCAGCCTCCCAGACCCTTCTCCCTGGACTCTGACTGCCTTGCTATGGTAGCCTGTGGGGCCATCCAGCTTCCTTGTCATAAGCAGTCTCTGGGCGTGTGTTCTGTAGGCAGGGCGGTGGGTATGCACAGCTGAGAGAGAACAGACTGCTGTTTTCTCCATCGAGGTCACAGGAACTTTCTGGATTCACAGAACTCTAGGCTCCTCCAGTAGTGCTCTGTGGCTGGCAGTTGCAGTTAGGTCTCTGGACACACATAGCCTTCCAGGGCTCTTCCTAACTGCACTCATGGAAGACTAGGAGGGAGGACAAGCCAGTGGTCCCCAACCCCAGACGCTCAGCTTTCTGCATGCCATTGGGAACCCATGGCAGCTAACCTGCTTCCAGACACCTGCCTTTCTGTGCTGTCACCTGGTGTCCTGTGCCATGTTGGAGAAGTTGTGCAGGGGAGAGCAGGGCCCTTGAGTGTCAATAAACCTGATAGTGGCAGGCCTCAGTTCCCACGGCAGCCTTGCCAAACATGTTCCCTGTATGGAGCTGTGTTCTCCATCACTGGGGGCTGGGGGGTGACAAGTTAGCTGGAGCAGACAAGGTCTGTCAGCGAACTGTGGATAAACCTGTGTCAGACCCCCAGGGGCTGTTCCTCCCGGAAGTTCCTTTTCCTGCCTAAAGTCCCGTTAGTCATCCACATAGCGTCCCGTAGCTGCCCTTGAGTCCCAGCCTCCAGCCAGGCTCCCTGATGTGCCCCACCTGGAAAACGGAGAAGCCATCTGGACCTACTCTGACCTTGGGCTGAAGCATCCAAATCCTGACTGCCTTAAAGGAGTCAGTTGCATTTATCTACCACCAACTGTATGCCTGACTCCATGTGAACCTGGTGGGTGTCCAGTGTTGGTGTCCCCAGCCACGTGGGGGCGGAGGTCAAAGGCAGGAAGAGCGAGCCCTACCCTGCTTCCCAGAAGACCTGGTGCTCTGGGTGCCTGTCTCCCCTGCAGTCCTGTCAGCAGTCTGTTATCTGCTCTGGTAATTCCCACCTATCTGATGGGAAGGAACCTATCTCTCTGGTGTTTGGAATCGAGTTACATTGTCTCCTTACTCCAGAGGCCTGGCCCAAAAACCGCCTGCCTGCTGCCGTCCTGTGCTGCTAGGGCCCTTGTGCGGTTTGTGGGTGGGTGGTATGGTTTGGGAATCCTGGGTCCTAGGACACAGGACTGGTAATCTGTCTGGGCTTTGCTGTGAGTGTTCCTAGGCTTTGTCTTCCCCCAGTCTAAACTGCGGCGAATTATGTCAGTGTTGCTTTTAAAATCAGCCAGAGCCTGCCTCCATCTCCAGCCCGTGCCTCTGCTGGCCCAGCGTTATCGTCCTTCATTTTGTTTCCACCAGCTCTCCCTTCATATGGAGCCCCTCCCTCTGCCCACATCGCTGCCTGGTCCTCTCCCCAACCCTGTCTACTTGCACCCTCCATGCCAGCCACAGGAACCTCTATGCTCCTGCAGCGGCTCAGCACCAGGCAGGGTGGCATTCAGCAGGTACGCAGCGACTGCCAAGGTGTGTCAGGTGACAGACACCACAGACCAGTAAAAGGTGGTGACCTCGGTGTCAGGGTCAAAGCTGTTGGCTTCAGAGACAAAAGGCTCAGTCAAGTCTTGCCCTGGGTGTTCTCCTGAGATCATGCGATTCAGTGACTCCTGCCTCAGTCTCCCCAGTAGAAATTGGCTCTGGGCCCTTCCTGGGTGTGACGGTTAGACTGCTCGGGTCACGATGCTGATGTGCACAAGAACATGGTAATGCTGGGGCAGGGACTGGAGTAGTTGCAGCCTTTTGCTAGGTTTTGTCAATAAAGTTTTATCGGCACATGGACTATGGCCATCATCCCACAGGGTGGCCTGGCTGCCTCTCTGTTCATCTGTGGAGCTGGGCAGCTGCAGTTGGGACTGCTGGTCACACAGACACATGCAGGTTCAGTCTGCTTCCCTTGGAAGGTGTTGGTCAGACTCGGGAGCCCATTAGATACAGGTCAGCTGTCATCAAGGTGAATTAAGCTAGGTCCTATGAGTATCCGCCTGTGCAGAGAGCTGGCCTAGGGCATAAGTCCCTGGGCTCTGCCCTGGTGCCATGTCAACCAGCTGTGGTGGATAGCACCTGTCATCCCAGCACTTGGGAGGCGGAGGCCTGAGCGCCAGGAATGGAAGGTTAGCCTTGGCTACATGCTCAAAGGAGTCAGTCCTCTCCTACCTTGCAGGCCCTGGGCTAGAATTCAGCTGCTCAGGCTTGGCGCAGGCTCCTTACTGACTGAGCCAGCCTGCTGGTCCAATGTTGGTGACCTTTCTTGAGCCTCTATTGTGTCTGGTAGGCTAGGGGCTTTGATGGCCGGGGCCTGGCCTGGGGGAGCTATCACGGAGGATTTGAGACCCAGCCTGCTCAGAGCCCTGTGCTGTCTGTGCTCGTGTGTATGTGCCACAGGTTTGGGGAACCTGGACGTGGCAGCCTGGGTGAACTAAGGCCACCCTGGCCTTGATCATGGAAACTGTGTCCCTTGAAAATGAATGTGGCGAGGTGGCGAGGGGTCTGCTGGGTCTGTGTGGGCCATGAGTCCGCCGCTGCGTCCTGACTGTCCTGCTGCTGGACTGAGGTCATCCCTGCCCTGGTCATCATGCAGGTGAAGACCTCAGCACAGGTTACGCCGAGCTGGGAACTAGCTCAGAGGCATTGCAAAGCCTCAGCATTGCAGGCTGATGGACCTTTCGCTGTCACAGGCCTTCAGGGTCCTAACTCCCCACAGTGGCAGTGGCTCATGTGCCTGTCTTTGTCAGGGTGTAGGGGAGCGGGATTTGGGGAGCAAGGAATCCCCAGTCTACCGAGTAGAGGTGCACATGCACACTGAGCAAGTTTGGACTGAGTGGCTAGCCCTCTGAGGGCACGGGGGTCCAGGGGCTTCACTGCACTGGTGTCGACCCGGGTTCGAGATCTGATAGAGGCTGGGTACACTGCGACGAGGGGACCAGTGGGCTCAGTGGGCTGGGTGCGTGCAGGAGCTCAGCTGTGGCCGCCATACGTAAATCTGAACTGGTACTTGTTTGTTTTGGAAGTTTTTGGCCACTCTGGCCCTGTCACCACTGCCTGCTCCATCTGACCTCCCTGGCCATTTTTCTTAGCTTGGATGCCTTTGTTCCCATGCCAAACACAACTTGTGCCTCATGTTCTTAAAACTATCTTTTCTGTTGCCAGTCGTGCAGTCTTTTGTTGGTTTGTAGGAGCTCTTTGTATATTGTAGACCCTTTCACCTGTGACAGCACTGTGCATCGCACCAGTCTTCTGGTGACTACTGACCATCAGCAAATTTTAGTTTCTCTGTTGTCAAGAGTGTCCATCTGACTGGTAACAGCTTCCCGGTTTTATATCATAGAAATTCTCCAGTTTCTTAATCTTCTCTATCCCTTTTTTTATTTTTGTTACTGTCTTATGTAGCCCAAGCTGGCCTCAAACTTACTATTTAGCGCAGGATGATCTGAGACTACCGATTGTCTTTCCTTCCCCTCCTGTGTGCGGGGTGACTGGCGTGTGCAGCCACAGCTGGCGTATGAGGTGCCTGGGTCACGTGGTGGTGAGGATGGTGCCCAGATCCTGGGGCATGCAGGGAAAGCACCCCGTCCACTCAGCTTGACCCCAGCCTCCCTTTTTCCCTCGTGTTTTCTGAGTTGGGGTGGGGGTGTGTCTTGTAGCCAGGCTGGGGGCACACACACACACAAAAATAACCAGGAATTCTGTACAGTGGACACTGTGCCCCTGGGGTCACATGTCCTGGTGGGGCACAGCGGGGCCCCTCTGCCTGTGGCTTTGGTGGGGTTGCCTTTCCTGATGTTCAGCTCTTTGGGACCATCTCTGGCGCCTTCTCCTCTCTCCATCACTGGCACTGAACAGTGTCCAGCTACTTGGGGACCCATAAGACCATGGGTGGCCTGGTTGCCCTGCCTGGCCCGGCTTCCTGTTTACCTCCCGGAGCTGACCAACAGGGAAGCACAGGGTTTGTCTTGTGTGATGGGTCAGAGGGACAGTCACCCTGGAAAACAAGGGCAGCAGGGTCCCAATGTCCACCTGGGGCCCCACCCCACCCCGCTGCCCTGCCAGATGCCTGTACTGCCAGTCTCAGCAGCTCCTAAGGGCCTGCAGTGTGTGTGGCTGTCCCCACCTCTCAGCCATCACCACCTCGTGACTTCCTTTCCTCTCTTGTTCCAAAGAGGTGACGAGTG